GCAGGAGGGCACACTCATGAGCCAGGAGCCAGCACACAGGGCAGGAGGGCACACTCATGAGCCAGGAGCCAGCACACAGGGCAGGAGGGGCACACTCATGAGCCAGGAGCCAGCACACAGAGCAGGAGGGCACACTCATGAGCCAGGAGCCAGCACACAGGGCAGGGTTCAGTGCGCTGGCATGGGCGTGGGAGGGATGCAGCGGCCGCCCCCAGGGTCCTCTAGGGGTAAAGAAATGCCCACACATCAGTACTGATGGCGCCTGTCACGCGTGGGACTAGGGACTGTGCAGTGCAGTGGAGCACAGCCACGCCGACCTGGGGAGCCTGCACAGCACGGCTGCCCCTGCGAGGCGAGCTCAGGGCGCTCCCCTTGAGGGTGGCAAGGCAGCAGAGCCACAGTGCAAAATCCCCTTTTCCACTCCTGGCCATGCCCTGCCCGGAGCCCACTAGGTGGGCAGTTCCAGCTCAGCTGCCTCTGTCGCCTACCACCATCTGTTCCGCAAAACAGGCCACTGCTGAGTCTGATGTGGCCTCTTCCAGACTGTGGCCTCTGGGAAAACTCACTCCAAACCTCTCATCTAAGATCAGTTCCCAGGCTTTGTTTTGGCTATCCTTGGTGCTGGGGATCGAACCTAGGGTCTCTCAAATGCTAAGCACATGCCCCACTGCTGAGCCATACCTGTTTGCTTATTTCCTGGGCTTTTTTTTTTTTTTTTTTGAGACAGGGTCTGGCTCTAGTCCAGGCTAGTCCTGAACTCACTATGCAGACTAGGCTGGCTTCAAATGGATAGTAATCCTTCTGCCTCAGCCGCCTGAGTGCTGGGATCCCAGGTATGTATCACCACATGCAGTTTCACTTCAAAAAATGAAAATAGACTCAATGATCTACAGCTTTAGGGCTGGGGAGCTAGCTTAGTGGTCTAAGAGCCTGCCTGGCAAGCACAAGGTCCAGGTTCGATCCCTGATCTCGCATGCTGCGCCAGCCCCAGAACCCTGGGTGTGCTGTGCCAGCCACAAAACCAGGTGTGGGGCGCACACCTGTGATCTCAGTGCTGGGGAGGCTGACGGGAGGATCACTAGGAGTCCAAGCTGTGTAGTTAAGAACCTGCACTGGGGCCGGGGAGATGGCTCAGTGGGATAAGTGCTTCCCTGGCAAGTGCAAGGGCCTGAGTTCAATCCCCGGTTCTGCCCCCCACCCCCCATAAAAAGACCCTGCACCAAAAAAAAAAAAAAAAATTATCTACAGCTTTAATCTGAATCCCAATTTAAAAATATATGTCATATGCAAATTTCCAAAGTAAAAACAAAGCTTTAAAACCATTGCTCAGGGCCAGCCTGAGAGCTCAGCAGACTAAAGCACCTGCTTAGGCCAAGTGCAGGGGCTGGGGTTTGATCCCCAGCCTGTCGTGCCGGTTCTGCCCATGGGGCAGGCTTTCTGAGACAGAGATTGAGACTGGGTGTGGTGGCACGTGCTGTAATCCTAGTGCTTAGGAGGCTGAAAACAGGAGAATCAGAGTCTGATAGTGAGACCCTGTAGACCCTGCCGTAAATATAGAAAAAAAAAAAAAAAAAAAAAAACCAATAAAGAAAACAAAAACAAAAACCATTGCTCAAGGGGTCACATCTACATTTAAATGTCTGCACATCCACAGAACAGTCATGTTCACACACCAAACTGAAGGCCAGG